ATACAGACTTTCCTCAGCAATACTCCCACTCAGAATAATTACTGCATAAATGTCTTGCTGTCCTAGAAACACACTTTCATTTCTTCATGCAACTGAATTTGTTAAGATTAGACTAATGTGATTAACATACATCCAAGCCAACATTGCTAGAACAAACACATATGTGCTTCTCACTGAGAAGGCTCTAAAATGATTTTGTTTTGATCATGGTAAACATGCAATGTGGGAATGCATTTTTTGGAAAGTATTCAAAAAGATCCAGGGGCTAGGGAAGCTAGTCTCTGTAGGTTACCTATAGAGTTGAAGCAGGAAAAGAGAGTCCTGTAAGAAATGATTCATAGCAAATAAAAGTAGATTCCTTCTCCGAACTGCTTCCTGGATTCCTCTCTCCCCCTTGGCTCTCCAGAGGAAAGTCAACTCCGTGAAGCCTATTTGGAAATCAATAGACATAATCTTGAGAATGCTTGCTTCTTCAGTGGAGTTTAAGACAAATGATTCCCACCTCCACAGTAGCACTATATTCTACAGAAAATACTGCTCTTCTGAAATTTGACTGGAAATTACTTCATAGAAGATAAATACACACCTACTGCAAATAAGGCCAATCATGAACATTATTAAGAGAACAGTTAGTTCTAAATCTGGAAAAATAATATTAGACAGATTTGTTTTTTTCTTTGCACCCAAGCTGCATTTCAGCTGGTGTTGCTATTGTACCAAAGTGTTTTCATTCTTTTACACTCTGCAGAATGAAGATGTTTCCAAAAGCAAAGATGACGTTCAAAATGTGGACATATATTTTAACACATCTGTGCTGTATTCAGTTGTTCCTTTACTGGGTATAATTTTTTTGCAAATACTTTATTCATTGTAATAAAGATTTTCATGGAGAAAATAAATAGTATTTTCAGTATTTTTCAATCCTCTCAGAATTAGTTCAATGATGAATGAATCACCCCCAATACTACAAAAATAAAATCTTTCTATGTTTGCTTTCTTAAAAACAATGGCTTGCATGTTTCAGAGAAGTTACATTTCTCCTGTAACTGAATACTGTTTTTCTGGGGATGTTTTTAGCCTTCTTAGTCACAACTTTTATAAAAATGGATTAGTTGAGTGAGAATTTGATTCAGACATGAAGGCATATTGGTTGCTTCCTGTTGTGCCCCAATCTTGAGACACTGAAATAAAAGGCAGCTTGCTTAGGAGACAAATGCAAGCGTGGAGATTGCTGTCTGAGAAAAAACATTGAAATAGCCAACTAAGTAGCTCTGAAAGTCATAACTCAGATGGCCATTTAAACTGGACTTGGGTGTAGAAAAGCTCAGCAGAGCAGTTTCTGGATCCAAGGGGCTTATACGTTGGGAAACAGGTGAGGAAGTACTGTGTATGAAGTATTGCTTCATTCCAAAAGCAACAGGAGTGGTTGAGAAACCGAAGAAAGGAATGCAAAACAAAGCGAGATGCAAAGCAAGAATGCTGAGAACAAAAATGGTCATGAAAGCTCAATGAGCATACAAATTCACTAACAAACAGTAAAAGATTGAGTTTGTAGTATTATTAACATCTCTTATTGCTGCTAAGGATGGTATTTTACAGTAGTGATATTAGAGATATTACACAATATGTAATATTTGTAAAGAAATGGATGCAAGAGAATGGAAATCTGAGTTTTGTTTCAGGCTGCACTAGCTGAAAATCTCTCAGGAGCTAGGCATGGGTCTAATTCTAAAGAATAACTGATACTTTAGTTGTCTTGGTACAGTGAACAAGAAAAGAGTTGGTAACAGAGAAATGGATCTTCAACTTGGGATTTGGAGGAGTGATTGGGGAACCACAGGAGAAAAAAAAAATCATGCTGAAAAAAAAGCAGAGAGCCAGTTTACTTGGGATCCTGATCCAAAATTCATTAATGGCAACAGGTACCACCTCAAGCACCAGAAAGGGGAAGGTTCTTGTTAAATAGATACTTTTAGCACTTAATTGTTCTTGGAATAAGGCTGATCCACTTCACAGAATGAGACTTCAGCGCTGCCACAATATTCTCACTGAGAGGGAATTTGGGAACAGACCTCTTAGGAACTAACATTAAACAGGTGCACACAAATATAGATATGTGTATCTATATGGAACTGTATGTATGCATGCATCTGTACATTACATCACTTTCAAACATCTAGTATTTTGAATTTTCTACAAAGAAATATTTCTAGATCATTAGTGATGGATACAAAAAAATAAAATGAAAATCCTTCAGCACTATATTTTGCTTAAGGATATTTCTTTAGCATGTTGACTCACATAATTTTGCTGATCCTTCATATTCATAAGACAGTGAGAGGATACACAGGCTATATCCAAAATAACAAATTAAACTGTGGGCATTTTCAAGCTGTGAGGATGGTTCCTACTTAGCTCTGGACTGGGCCACTGCAGTCTCTCAGACAGTACCTGGGCACATTCTGAGAAGCTGATTGGATCAACACCAGAGAATAGTTCTTGGCACATTTAATTTACCAGTACAGATGTAGCTGTGAAGTAAACAGGATTTCACTAATTTGCATTCCATACTCCTTTGGAAAGATCGGGAGCTTCTGTCTTACCATGTCTGCATTATATTGCTTACTACCTAGAAAACCTCCTCGAGTGACTTATTTTCCTCCCACTCTGAAACTATTATGGTAAATTTGAGAGTTAATGTTGTGGTTTAACCCAGCAGGCAGCTAAGCACCACACAGCTGCTCGCTCGCTCCCCCCCCACAATGGGATGGGGGACAGAATCAGAAGAGTAAAAGTCAGAAAACTTGTGGGTTGAGATAAAGACAGTTTAATAGGTAAAGCAAAAGCCACTCACGCAAGCAAAGCAAAACAAGGAATTCATTCACCATTTCCCATCAGCAGGCAGGTGTTCAGCCATCCCCAGGAAAGCAGGGCTCCATCATGCATAACAGTGACTGGGGAATACAAACGCCACCGCTCCGAATGTCCCCCCCTTCCTTCTTCTTCCCCCAGCTTTATATGCTGAGCATGACATCATATGGTATGGAATATCCCTTTGGTCAGTTGGGGTCAGCTGTCCCAGCTGTTCCCCTCAAACTTCTTGTGCACCCCCAGCCTACTTGCTGTGAGAAGCAGAAAAGGCCTTGACTCTGTGTAAGCACTGCTCAGCAATAACGAAAACATCGCTGTATTATCAACACTGTTTTCAGCACAAATCCAAAACATAGCCTCATACTAGCTACTATGAAGAAAATTAACTCTACCCCAGCCAAAACCAGCACAGTTAATAATAAGAAAAAAGAAATGTATGACTACATTTTTATTTTCATTCTTGAGAGATTGCATTTGTACAGTCGTCAGACAGTTGATGCTGGCAGTGAAAGCGGATACAACTTTCCCACTCTGCATCATGAAAATATTTTTAAAAAGACGTGAACCATATGCATGCTATGCTTAGCTAGAAAGTTAAACTTTACCATCTTGAACATAAAAGTGAAATTATCTCTTAAAGAAAGCTGAACAGCAGTACCTATTAGATTTTAACTTAAACTAATCAAAGGTAGAAGAAAGTTGCTATAATAAACTGTTCTGATGATCTTATCCTGCAAAAAGGATACTTTGGTCTTAACATGTAAAGCTTGTCAGCAACACCTAGAAATACCTAACTTTTATAGTACCACTGCCATGAGCTAGAAGCCCTCAGTTACTTCCAAAGTTCTCTGAGAAACATCATGCATATAATCATATTCATATATGGTTATATACGAATAAATATATTTCTGAGTTTCTGAGAAACATTTTGAGAGTACAATGAACCACAGAAAAGAGAAGAGGAACGGTACCAACGTTGAGGCAACTGAGGGAATTCTTTCAACATTAAGGTATCCACTCAGAAAAAAACCAAAAGTGTTGCATCTGAAAGCATAAGGAATCACAAAGTCTAAATTGTTATCTCACAAAGTATGAATTAAAGAAATACATAGATTTTGGAGAGTTTTTTTTAAGAAATGGTGTGAAAGTGAATTTCATTCATATGAATAAGTTATTTTGGGGTTTTTGCATTATACTTTGGTTAGCTTGTTTTGAGTTTTAGCTGGTGTTGCTTTTGATCCTCTGGTCTGAAAACTCGTTTTAAGCCTGGTGTGGTTTTTTTTACTTGTTTTTTTTCTTTTTTTTTTTTTTTTAACTAAAATTGCTAACTTGTATCCTCAAATTTGGCACTATAGACTTCTGCGACAGGAATGTGTTCTAGATTTGATTTATTGCATAGACAAAGTATTAGGTATTTAAAATAAATTCTTCCCCATTTATATTCATGAGTATTTTTTTCCCAAAATGTGAAAGTAATTGAAAAGAAATACAACATTGAGTAAAAAATGGTAAAAAGAAAGTATTTTATTTTAGTTCCTGATGCAATAAAATTGGAAATGAGCTTTTCTTTTTAAAAAGGGTCTGCCACATACTCCTACATATTTCTGCTTCAAGGAGTAAGCATTTCTTTGCCAATATACAACAAACTTAGAGGTAAATACCTCTGAGGTAAAATCATATTTAAGTTTGTTGAACAACAATGTTTACCAGAAGCTCATGACAGAGGAAAAGGCATAAATGTATTATTTAAAATGGCTTAAACAGTGGATCACTGAATAGCCTTTCATTCTCTTTTACTAGTGAAAATAGATGGAATTAGGAGAGCTTTCCAAACTTAACACATTTAAAAGTAGATAAATAAATCTAAATCTAGAAATCTTTTCCAAGTATGTTAGCCAAGTAAGACTTGTTGCTAGAACACTTCATTGAGGTAACTTGAAAGTATAGTGATTGGTTTGACAAATGAACAGCTTTATCTGACTATCCAATAATTAACCATTAAAAGAACGTACATAATATAGGCTGAGAGATCAAATGCTCCAGCAAGAAGTTTCTCCTCAAAGCAAAGGGTTCAGCACTGTAGCACGTTCATCAACTTAAGTAATGGAAATCGTTAAGAGGGTACTTACATTAGGTCTTAATCCTGCTGCCATTTCATAATACTTCTCAGCTTCTTCATTGAGACTGGCTTGTCTATCAGGACAGAAAAAAACCAATATAGTTACACCTCATTTTACACCTCATTTGGGTTAAAAAAGAAACCATACCTAAAGAAGCATAGCTAAAACCAAAATACTGCAACTACTCCCCACTGTTTAAGGATATTAGCCTAACAAATGCACAAAATATATTAATCTAAAAGATTTTTTTATAGTTCAGAATATCCATTATCACAAATCCTCTTTGCCTACCTTATTTTCTTTTTAGTTCTGAAATGATGTTAGTACACACTGGAGAGAAATGCAGAAGGCCAAACACTCATCTGAGGCAAAACCAGAGATGTACCAGTCTTCACCAGAAAAACATTGGCTCATTTTTTGTAATTAGCCATACTTTAACAGTAAATTATGAAGCTGTAGATTATACAATAATGCAGTTCCTTTCTTTGTGCCTCCCCAAGAACACTATCATTCCAGAAAAAAAAAAAAAAAATCTGAGAATACAATGATTTCTCAAAAATAGGTTTCTATGATTAAGGGAATTAATTCAGAAAAGAGAGTTCTGATTTCAACGTTTACTCACATCAGTCTGAGAGGGGATTTAAACTTAGATCTCATATCCCAGGGGAATAAGATGAGTTTCTAGGTACCTGAAGCAGTATCAGCTCACCTCTTTTTCTTTTCCTCACTAATATAGATGGCATCTACATTCTCCTAGTAGTTTAATTTTTATTTCTTCTCCTGAATTTTCAGTTTAATGCCTTCAAATGAAAATGCAGTACGTTGCCAAAGAAATCCAAGCACACTTTTGTCTCAGCAGACCTTTTTTATCTCTTCTCTCAAACTCCTCTCTTCTCCTTTTGTCTCCACCTTCTCAATTTCCCTCGAACTATTCATTTTGGCTACTGGCCCAATGAATATCAGTTGATCACATACATGTCATGAGAAAGATGGTAAATATGTAAGAACAGCGAAGCAGGACTATCAGGCAGGCTACACATCTTCTGCTAAAGTTATTTGCTTTTTTTTCTATTAAGAGTTAGGTCTCTTCATAGAAGAGTTAGGACGGGAGATCTTCAGCATATTTGTGTTTGGTATGTGATTACAGATGCATTTCTGTGATATAAAATGGAAAAATTAGAAAACAAGGATAACACTGAGTAGGGTTGGTTGTTTTTTTTTCTTTTTCTTCTTCTGAGAACAGTTACTAGTTCAAAGAGTATCAATCAAATGAGCACTTGTATCTGGAGATTTTACCTTGTTCATTACATGAGCTTTTACATGCTTTGTTGTTCAGTGATCAAATTGTGTTCTAATTTTATATTTCCATCCACCCAAATTTTAAACATTAGTCACACAATACATGCTAGGCAATTAATCCCAATCAACACATTTTTACAGTTACTGGTCTTGGGAGGAGAAAGGGAGGAAGGATAATCCCTTTGAAGTTTCTCACATAATTCATGTGAAAGCTGAAACCACTTCCTGACTAACAATTTGTCAAGTAGAACCTGGTTTATACCTGTTAACTGTTTTAAATTACTTTGCACATGTATCATCGACTCAGTGGTTGCAGTGGTTAGAAACGATTGAATGTCTAAAAATATTCATTTAACATGCTTCTGAATCACTCCTGCTGGGCATTAGCAGCACTTGAAACGACTGGAAAAAAAAAAATCTCATACTTCCGAATTTCAGGATTTACTACAAGGCACATAAAATGAAACATGTCACAGAGCTTTTTTTTCTTGTTTGCACAGAACTGTCAGGAAACAAAGCATTTCTGAACGTGGTGAAATTCTGCACCATAAACAAGGTGCCTTACCCAAGAGGCAGATACAGACGGTGCACTTCACCTCCAAAAAGTGTTGTTGGCATGTGAACATGGAACAAATTAAAATCCTGTCCCCTTTTAGCCCAGTGGAAATACATGGCTTGCTTTCATCCCACACGTACATCTTGAAACATGGATCATTAATTCCTAAGTTGAAATCAGTTTGAATTTATAGTTCTTCATTAAAAACGGTTTATAGAAATGAATGCACACCACACTAGTCTGGTCAGGGAAATGCCAGTTCCATTTCTGGAGCATTCAGCAACAGTTCCTTTAGCTAAGATACGGCAGAATTCTGGTTCCCATTTTCACTGGAAATCTAAAGTAGAAATTCATTATGTTAAGCCCTGGAATGGCTTTCCCTTGAGAAAAATAAAAGGCACAGAGGTAGGAAATTGCAGTAACCCTATGCCACTGAGCAGTAAAGGACTCTGGATCAATGTCAAACAATGGAAGGACATTACTAAAGGAAACGTAATTCACATCAGACTAAAACATTAGATAAAATGTTGATAATAAAACAGAAAGGAAGGAAAGGAAGCAAAGAGAAATTTGGAAGAGAGAGTTCTTTTCATAGTTATTAGTTATATTTCAACTTCTATCCTAAGTCTTTTCATGAGAACTGACCTTGAAAACACATCTGATTTCCCCCATTAACACCTAGCATTCAATCTTATTTTAAGGGACAAAAATGTCTCCTCTTTTTATTTTCTCATATGTCTTAACCTGAGCCCCCAGACCTACCAGTTCCCTGTATTTTGTTCCAGCTGACTGCTAGTGATACCTCACAAATGTGCTTGGCAACACATTGCTCTCAGGTTCTCCTGACACTCAGTTATATTCAGCTTGCATTCATTTTGAATCTTTATGTTGATCACTGGAAAAAATATTGCTTTAAGAGACAAACACCACCAAAGTTTACTGGTTTAGATACATAAACATGTGAACGGGAAAGGGTTATTTTTAACCTGCCTATTGCTTGGCATAAGGCTTCAGACCGTTGATTTTTTTTTTTTTTAAGTGAAATCATGGATGTCAGTCCAGCTATAAAGAAGTTTTCTTCAAAGAGATTCCTATTTCAAAATACTGAATGTCGATACTTGGCATTCTTAATGGACCTTTTTGTGTCACAGCAAAATCATAATCAGATTCCATACATGTAATCCTTCATTCACATTTTCTGTTTTACAACAGTTACAAAATTTACATAGACTACATGCTTAGCCTTACATACATACATATATATATTTAAGCACATGGACAGTAATTAAAGAATTAATAAAATCTGTTTAGGCAATAACATAGGGTGAACTTGTGCCTACGAGACTGTGCCAGGACCTACACTCTGTGTTCAAACAGTCAGTGTACTTTAGAGAGCCAAAATACCCTCATAGAAATTCACTGGAAAACAAACACCATGTCATGTAGTGTTGCTCTAGACTTCTGTTTTCAAATAGCAAATAAACGTGCTATAACTTCATGTAATATGAATGTTTCCCACAACAATCCACTGTCTTACAGAAGCATGAAAAAAAAACCTATTCCTACAAGATGTGCTTTTAAGCAAAGCTCTTCTTCCGATGCTTGTTTTCATTTGGAGACAACATGAAGCTCTTTTCCTGTTTCTGATCAGTACAGCGGTGCCACTACACTGTCATTCCTTATTCTCAAAGTAATCATCCCCTAGATCACAGGAAACCTATCTCATGGCAACTCACCTCAGTATACAACTACAAAGTGAAACTTAGCACTGTTAATACATGACTCAGTCACTGAAGCTACAGCCACCATATGGCATTACAAATACATGCTTCACTACATTCCATTAAAATGTATCTAGCTTTGCTGAAAGGCTTCAAACTGAGGCTATAAGCAAGAGCACAACAAATACTACAAAAGTAAAACACATGACCAGTTACTGGTTTAAGAAGAACCACCCAAACAGCGACATGACCCTTGAATGAAGCTGTCTGGAAAACAAATTTGTTGAGAAAACAAATTTTACAGGCAAGTACTATGCAAGTTAAAAGTTACCAGACTGTTGCAAAGAAATTAATTACATTCATCCCACATCTCACCCGTATTACAGATGATTTGATTCATCTGGCATTGCATTATCAGGATTCTACAGAAGTCATAGAGGCAAAAAATTAATAACTATGTTTGTGTAATTAGGAACAGGGAGGCCTCTCAATAATGCAAACAGAACTAACCCATTTCTTTTCTTGACTTTAGCTTCAGATAGTAGTCAAGTCTCAAAGACAGGAAGTAAACGGTGTTGGAATACCTGACAGAAGGAGCAGAAGTCTTTCTTGTGACTGTTAAACTGAGAACAGGCTATCTATAAATACAGCTATTGCATTTGGACAGAGCTAACAATTCTGTTGCAAATTTAAGAAAAAAAAGTTAACCCACAGCATTCCAGTCTATGCCTTGCTCAAAATTTTCAAAACTTGCTAAATTTTATTTAGGTTGCATTTTAATTTAAACATTTTTCTCAGAGAGTAAAGGGATTAAAAAAAGGAAAATATTTTAGCACTAGAGTAGAAAAATAAATTGGACTTGGAGGGAATGCTGTGACTGTTTTCCATCCAAAGCAGCTATAACCCAAATTTGAAAGAATTTGCCTGCAATTCTAAAGAAATGTCTACATGTTTCTGAATCTGGTGACACTCCTTGGGCTGATGTGGAAACAGGAGTATGACAGGAGGGAAAGATGATTCCTTTCTAATTCAACAGTACATTATTGGATAGAGTGTTTGGTCTGAAAAAAAATATTAGAATTTACACAAAAATCTAAGTTGCTGTTATTATCTCCTAGTCATTTTGGACACCTTGCATCATCCACATTAATATCAATTTCTGTCTCTTAATTCACAACATACCTCTAAAATTTATCCCTTCTCTCTCACAACAGTTAAGTCACTTCCTGCCCTGTGAACTTCTATATTTTCTACCTCACAGCTGTGCAGTCCATTCAAAATTCTTACTCACCAGTCAGTTTTTATAGCTATCTACGGTACCTAAAGAGCAGTTGGTCACCTACGTGAAACTATCATATTTAATAATTTCAGCCTTTCATTTATGACCATGTTTAGCATCCACAGTTTCTAGCTGTGTCACTGTATGCCAGTCTGAGTACTCCCTTCTTTCCTTCTTCCTTTCTATCTTGGTATCTGCTTTCCTCTTGGGATCACCTCAGCTCTCCATCATTCTAAATATCCTGAAAATCAGCTTCTTCTGAAGTCCCACAGACTCATGATGGATTTGTAGCTGCTCTGTCCTAATGTGTGAATATACATTCCCCTTGTCCAAGAACTATTCTGTAAGCAATATATTGAATAAATTGCTAAGTAATGCAGTGAAAAAAGGCAGACAACAGAATCATAACCTTTAGCAAGAATCAGTCAGATCATAACACATGCAGTTTTAAGCAAATACTTGGCAGCACTGAATTTAATCTTGCCACCCTGACTCTTGCTACATTCTCTAGACCACTTTAGACTCCCAGAGAATATTAGGAAGACATTACGATCTTTCCCAAAGAAAGCTGAGTATTTAAGTGAAAACTAGACCAACTGGGTATCCCAAAGGAGCACAGTTGGATTCTAGATAAACTAAACCACCAGGCCTTTTTTTTTGTTTTTAAGGGTTTTGGTTTGGTGGGTTTTCTTTTTTTTTAAAGTTTTTGGTTTTTTGCTTACAGCTAAAATAGAGAATGCAGTTTAGAATCACTGAGCTCAATGCTGGTCAAAACCTCCCAAAAAGTGTCCACTCCCAACCAGATCAAGCAGGGTAACCACGGTTGATGTACAGTATAGCAGCATAGCTCTTACTCTGAGAGTGAAAAAATACTCATATCCCGATGTAAAGACATGTGCCTTCAAGACCTGGGATGCTTCAGTCAGTGCTCACAGAGAAAGTAGGAGATTTATTAAACCTATTCTCAAAATAGTATTGATCTATGCCACCACATTTTAAAATACCCACAAAAAAAAATCACACCATTAAACCAACTTCTGCAACACACTCACTGAAATCAGGAGTCTGACACACTTTATACCCTTCTGGATTCAGCTTTCATGCCTAACTTGCTATGCTTCTGCCTGTGAATTTGTTTCATTAACCTAAATGTTTCGAATTGCTGAATTCTGTTTCAAGAGATATCATTCAGAAAATAATCGGGAGGAAGGGAAGGATCCTTAAAATAGCTCATACACCTGTGGCAGGTCAAACTATTGTTCACCAGTGAACCATTTGTCTTGGTTTCCTTTCTAATCTACAAGCAGTGAGAGTTATTTCTCAAAGGGCGTTTTGGGGCTTATTTCAAAATCCTGGTATAGAACCCTTCATTTTGAAACACAGGTCACTTGGCTGAAGCTGATTCTACCTTCTCTTTAATACCATTTTCTTTTCCTTTCATTGTGTATTCTAAATGTTAAAAGTATAAACAGCCAAGTGAGATATCTTCATTAGAGAAATGTTCTCAATAACTGTTTTGTACTAATTAAGTACATTTTTTATTTCCTTTTTCAAGCATTTTCTAAGCATAGATATAATCTAAATGAAATCAAGTATCCTCACAGCTGTTAAGCGGACAATAGACAATAATTAGATAGTTATCCTAGAAATAAGCATGGAGGATACCCATTACAGTAATGTGAGTTTAATGATAATGTTCAGGCAGAAGCTTAATGTTACTGAATATCCAGGTCTGACAGCTTTAAAAGGAAAAAAAGAAGTCTAAAATTTTATTCTATTCAGATAGGAGAACACAATTAAATATAAGACTACATTTTAAATCACAGATTCTGATAATATCATTAAGGGCTCCTATAAGTCTCAAAGTCATTATTAGCCTGGGAATATTTAGATTTCTAATTATCGTACTGTTCCCTACTAATATTAACATAAAATGTGATATTTTCAATATTGTCTAGTTACATCCAGATCAGAAATACGGTCTATTATTTGCAGTTGCTATGCACCCTAAATTTTTAAAAATCAGGTGAAAGGAAATCCTGCAGAAGGTTCTTCACAAAAGAAATGCTTCTTCTTGTATGCAAGCAAAAAGGATTACCTGCTTGTGAACAACAGAAGTTTTAAAGGTAAGAAATTACGAGATAACGCATAGAACATTAGAAACAGAAAGTGCTAAATCCTGCAACAGTTTCACTCCAACTCTTTTTATCTTATTAGCAATATTGAATTGTTCAAAAGACTTGCTGGGCTTTAAAAAGAACCCTGTGTAAGCAAAGGTTACAAAGACTTCTTTCCTCCAAAAGAAGGGAGGAAAATCAAGTAAGGCAGATGTAAAAGAACTAACCTGAGCATATGGGCCGCATTGAAAACAACATCAAATTCTGTATTATCAAGTTCAGCTGCTTTTTTTGCCATCTCAGCTGCTTCTATCAGGCGGGATTCTTCTAGGAGGAACTGACCTACGATGGAGTGCATGAACGTGAGCCCACAGAAAACAACTGATGGATAATACTTCAGACAATATAGTTAGGAAAAGGAATTACCAAAACAAAAAAAAATCAGATGTCTCAGATTCAATGTTTAGTCATTATTTGATCTGTATTCCAGTATCTTTAAAATGTAGTGAATATAGAAAAAATGCAATAAATATGACAGGTAATAACTAACTGCAGTATTTGTAGAACATATTTATGAATAGTGAGAAGATACAGTAAAACTCAGCAATCAAGAAACAATACTCCTAGTCCCCGAGAAGCCTGCCATTTAAGAACTTGCCTTCTGCCAAAACACTGATCTTCACTTCCTCAAAACAAAATGAAATAAAATAGCAACTACAAATTAAATATATTCCCATTTTAAAAGCATATCTCAAAATCACATAAAAATATATATTGTTATATACATACATGCAAACATATATCTTCAGCTTTAGAATTATAAATGATACTGCTTTAAAATGATTATATATACGTATACCTTGATGAACTGGTATTTTATCACATATTTCAGTAACACTAAGAGAATCACATGGGCAGCTTTTTACAAGTGTCTTACATAATCCTTACACTTCACGTAAAAAAATAGAAGATGGCTGAAATCAAGTGACTGAATTTTTACAAATGACATTATCATAATCATTAAACCAAGTTACAACTGAAAACATTAAAGAATTTAGCATTAACCAAACTTTAACTAAAGTACAGTAGTTGCAAAACGAAACACATAACAACTAGTAGAACTCTACAAAAATGAGTTTTCCTTTGAAGAAGAGGAAAAAAAAACACTTTGGAAGGTACTCAAACCACCTTATTTCTGCTCCTTTTAATGATTTTTTCACACCTAATTTGTAAAATGTGTTATTTTTGGATCAAGGACCTTTCAAAGGGTTTCAGCCGTCTAGACTCTGTGTCTACTAACTTCATATTTGGAAAAGCTATCTTAAAGTATGGTGATTACACATTCCAGCATCCCATCCTTCCTTTTTTATCTTACTTTGTAAAGTAAGATCACCCAACCAAAAGTCCACCAAGCCATCACTGGCCACAAGCCTCTTCAGGAACAAATTATTTCCTCTCATGGTGAGGGATTTTCTTTTTTTCTTGCCTCCTTTCCCCTGTTACTTACATGCTTGCATATGTACTTATACGCACATGCAGAAAATCCATTTAAACACAGCTAGCAAGGTCTGTAGGGGCACAGTGAATCCAGTGATGCTTTGGTACAATGAACATGTTTGCAGAAGGACTCTCAATACAAAAAGTGATGAAAGACAGCTTTCCTAGCTTTTTCCTTTCTCTGTGGATACATTTCAACTTAGCAAGAGATAGATTATTTACTCAGACCAGTTACCTGTATCTTAGTTATTCAGATCTGCAAAAAGTCTTGGAAAAACATTTAGGTGCCTTTCTCCATTCATAGCATAAGGTTTGCTTGCTTTACTTACATCCACACTCTAATATGTGCCATCCTTTCATGCATTATGATGCTTTGTGTTCATTGTTTCCAGAAACAGACTATTTCCAAAAAGGCTTTCTCACACAGAACAATAAGTAAATAAACAAATAAAAAGAGAGAAAAACATAAAAAGAAAACATATGAGAACAGTTTGGATCATAAGAAATTAATTTGTCATCAGAATTAGAAACCATTGCTTGAGCCATTAATGGAAGTCTCTTATGAAGGGGAAAAAAAAAATGTTGACAAAAGCTACAAGTTTGCTTTTTTTTTTCTTTTTTTTTTTCTTTTGGGTACTACATCAGGGTATGCCTTATATATAGCAGGACAAACTCAGATATGAATCTGAAAGTTCTCAGACAAGTAAATCTACCAACTACAACAGGCAGTTCATATCTCTTGATTTGGGCTGAATTCCTTTTTTTTTTAAAGGGAAATCTTTGAAACAAACGTGACCAACTAGTATTCCAATTCTCTTCCAACAAATGAACTAAAACAGTATCCCTAATCTTTAGGTCCATGCTAAAGCAAACCAGCCTTAAACTGTTAACATTAAGGTTCTTTTGTTAATGAAAGCACTGGATTAGCAGAATGAGACGCTAGTAACTGGATGTACTATTGATACATCCAGCCAGGGGAAAAAAAGAGGACATAACCTTTTAGATTTCAAGACATGGTGAACATTTAAGATCATTCTCAAAAATTGATATACTTAATTTAGGAAAAATATTTTGCAGCTTAGAATTTTAGAATAATGTCAACTGGTCATTAAGAGAATTAGTTCCATAAGGAGAAAAAACTTCTCAGTATTGTCTTCAATAAAAATTTCTCAAGGGTTTTTAGAGACAGATCTTTAGAAACATACTTCTAGTTTTCTGTATAAAATATTTAACACTGAAACTCAATAGAGATGTTATCTTATGTACATTTATAACTACCCCTAATGTAATAAAACGTAACTGATACATTCTATTTCATGTGACATAATCAATAAATTTCTTGACTTTAGATTCATTTTATTAAACATTAAAATACTTGCACTGCATGTAATTTCTAAAAATATAACATTATTGGAAACCATTTCAAATCAATACTAATGATTTACTGGTGCTCTTAAGTAACACACTAGGTTAATTCTTAGCTCTTTAAGAGGTCTATAAGATCGACATATATTGAAGATGATATCAAATTTGTACATGCTTTAGACTTCTACAAGAAATCTAACTTAGAACAGGACAACTTTACATATATTTACTAAAAAGCAAGTGCACTGCTAGATGCTTTAGTTAAAAGCTTGTTTTTATTAATTGTTTTTCTAGGACTTTGGCTGCATACATTCCGTTAGCCTACATGGACACATCAAAAATGTCAGCAACAACTCTAAACTAATGTTTTAAATTGTTAAAACCAGAATTCACTCTCCATTTACTACTAGGTCTCTAAAAAGTGTCTCTATAATAGGATTCTTATTTTATATAACATATTAAAGGATTCTTTTTATTACAGGATTACCAAAGTTAACTAAAACCAATTGCAAGTACTGCATGACACCAGCCAAGTATGACTAAAACTTGCACCTGCCCAGAAAAGAAAATTCTAGGACAGTGCATTACTATAAACAAGTCTCTCCCCTGTATTAGAGGTGGTAATAACAGTGGCAATAACTCATGCTGAGTGGGTAGGTAGTAGATGATACATACCACCTTCCTGAAAATGACTGTAGCATCCTTTACATCCAAACCCTTACAGGATACTGACTGCAAACAAGAGAGGGGAACACTCTGTAACTGCTTTACTCATTGCCTGAATAGAGGTGATTTAATCAGAGGCTGCTGATTAAGCATTTCCTTAATTGGTTGGGCTATAAATATAATTGACTGCTACCTTCTCAATCTAGTGGAAAAGTCAATACCTGAGTATACAGGTGTGTGGTGGTTGTCCCCCGCCAGCATCCAAGCACTCACGCAGTCACTCGCTCCCTCCCACCCAGGGGAGAAAATAGGAAGAACAAGAGCAAGCAAACTTGTGCATCAAGATAAGACAGTTTAATAGATGAAGGAAAGAAGAAAAAAGAAAAAAACAAAACCAGCAAAGTGAAGGAAATCGCCCACCACTTCTCACATGTAGACTGATGCCCAGCCAGTCTCCAAACAAAGGCCACCTCAGAAGCCAAAACCCCTTTTCCTCCTCTACCCCAGTTTTTATTGCTGAACGTGACGTTATACAACATGGCATATCCCTTTGGCCAGCATGGGTCAGCTGTGCAAGCTGTGTCGCCTCCCAATCACCTGCCCATCCTCAGCCTACTCGCTGAGGGGGAAAAAGAGAAAGCCTTGACACTGTTCAGCAACAGCCGCTACACTGGTGTTATCAAGACTGTTTCATCCACAAATCCAAAACACAGCATCATCCAGGCTGCTATGAAGAAAGTTAACTCTGCCCCAGCCAGACCCAGTACAAGGTGGAAACATTCAGTTGAGAATTGATTTGCCAAGTTCTCCTGAAAGGCAGGCTAATTTTATTCACACATCTAAATTTAATTTGAAGTGTCTAAGTAGAGATATCCCATTTCGAAAACATTAGCCGCCGTTCCTTTTAATACGATATACTAAATTCATACAAGAATGAACTGGATTGGCAGTTTACTGCTGCACTTTCTTCATTAAAAAGCAGACTTCTGAACTTTTCCTGTCGAAGACATAAAGATGTGTTTTCCCAAGAGAAGAGCACTAGCAGGGCAGAATATTGGCAAGGTGTTGAAGGTGGATCGGAAGGTCTGATCCACAAGCCCCTGGATCCAGGAACCACTTGTGTGGGTCTAAATTTACATGCAGGATTTTCTCCCCTGACAGGTAGCTGGCAAACCGCATGATTTATGAGACACTGCCCAATATCACATACAGAGCTTTCTTATTGCAGGTGTCACGACTCCAACTCTTGCCAACAACGTAAATTATGGTAGCCTGATTGTTTTTTGGAATCAGAACCAGCTTTTGAGAAAACAGCTTTCTAGAAGCTCTGAATCCCAGATTTTCCTTCTTCAAGGAAAGCATATTTCTCATTACTCTTCTTCTAGAATGGGAGCGGGAAATCCACAGTCCAGGTTCAGGTGTGATCTTCAACAACATTGTTCTTTGCCTGGAACAACGTTACTTTTTTTAAACAGTTGTTTCCACCTTTCTTGCTAGACAGCACAGAGCTGAGTGTAAATGTGTAGCCAAGAGTTCTTAAAGACCTTTGACTGCAGAGAACTTATTCAATACTTCACTATCCTCTTAGTCATTTTTCCCTAAACTAGGATATCTAAGCATCAGAAAGAGCATAAAAGCTGAAAAGTTCTGTACCTATAGCCTTGTTCAAACTTACTTTTTCTTGCAAATCATCAACAGTGTTTTTGAGTCTATATTTGACCAAAAAATTTTGAGGAAATATATGCAATCTACTGAAAAATAAGATAAAAGTATATATGCAATTTGAATACCAACAAAAAATTTCCAGTTCCTAG